CTGAAAACTCCCATGAGGACAGTGATACATCACACTTCACATTGGCGAAGTCTGCGGTTCGCGCCACTGCCACCAATGAGAGAGGTTTTTGCAGGAATGGGATATACGCCTGTGACGAAAATTCCCACAGTGACAACTCCTGTATGCCAATTCGGGCTTCTACTATAGCGTCTTCATTCACATCTTGCTTTGACCAGATGATGGCATTAGCTACAATGGCCTTCGCGAAAGGAATTCCACCTTGAAGACAGAGCTCAGTGGGAATAGTGGATATGGTGAGGAGTCCCCTCCACTGTGAAAACGGTAACCCGTTATGCTGCTGCAGTAGCGTGTACCTCCGTTTTGAGACAACCGAACCATCTTTTCTTCTTCCCCACTCTTCCACAAGCTGACGAAGCGTGACTGCAAGAGAAAGAGGGACGCTCACGGTATCGGTTCGCACTGCCGCATTAAGTGATGCGGACCGTTCAATCTGTTTGACCCCCCAGTCCACGTCAACATCCACTCGAGAAAGAATACAGTGTGTTACGCCTTCATCGACATACTCACCCCGCCACCGCTGCACACGCACCTGAACCACAGATTTACGGGAGGTGGCGGATAAATATGCATCCACGGCCGAGATTGCGAACGTGAGCTTACGGTGGTGCGCCAACGACACTTCTATGCCCCCTCGTTGAAGTGCTAGACGAAGTCTGTAAAAGGTAACTTTTTTAGATTCGGATCGAGTAACAGAATCACTGTCGTTAACGCATGTGGCAACCTCCTCGCAATCTTTGCAAACAAAAGTAGCACTCTCATCTTCGACAGCAATTAAGCTCTGCAATGGCGATAAAAAACGGCAGCGGTGGAAGTATACATGGGTCCCTCTACACACCACCATGCGAGCACCGATATCGCCACCGCCAGCTCCACCACCGAAGAAAAATGTGCAATCCTCTACGACAACAACTTTGTCTGGGCAATCAAAGAACCACGGACCCGTAATGTCCAAGTCGTACTGACTGCTTTGAACTGAAGCAGATATGATTAGGTGTTTCTTATAGAGCGTATTGAACGCATACCTCAGCTTCCCCCACAACCCCAACACATCGCGTATAATTGCAGCTCCTGGAGATGCATTAGCACGAAGGCTCCAGCTCCTAACCTCTGTACGACGCAACTCTTCGCCTACCAGAGATGACACATCACTTCCACCCTCACTATCACTAAAATTCGTGCTGCCCTCTCCATAAAATGATACACTACTCTGGTTATACGTAACAGTATCAAACTCAAGCGAGGCAATGCCGTGACTATCCAGTATAATAGAATCAAAACTCATTTCCACTGGAACTGGTTCCCTCATGCGCAGAGCTGGATCCCAGAAATCCTGTATGTTCATCGGGAGTGTACCTGTAAAGGAACGCAAAGTTGCCCGGATGCTAATCGATGGGAAGCGACAGTGAAACATCTCCAGATAAAGAACTGGCATACTAATTACAACCGAAAGTCTATCGCAAGCATTCATCACGGTCAAGGGGGATGATTCACGCAGCTCCGGAAGCACCACTCCAAATTCAAGGGGTGGTGAACCTCCTGCAACCTCACGAGATGGCATGCCTATCTGGAAAGCCAAGTCATCGATATCCCCAAAGGTCACTGCACAAGATGCAGCGCATAGTGACACAGCAATGTTGCTGAAACCACTATAGAAAAGACGGTACGCATAGACAGGAACCACTTGGTTTACCAAAAAAGTGGCGTAGTCCCTCATCAGCATCGTCAGCGCCTCCAATTCCAGACACCAAATTCGGTCAATGCATACACGCACAAGATTTCCGCTGATTTGTAATGAAGAAGCAATGTATGGCCGCATAGTCGTTCGAACCGAAAAAGCAACTGCACAGTAAAGCGCTTTCAGTGAAACAAACTCCACTGCCTCCAAGAGTCGAGCACTCTTTGCTGAACACAAAGTAGTATTACCGCAAACAGCGATCTGAACATCAGAAAGATGCACTAACGTCTGCGGTGATGCAACCTTCCACGAGGCCTCAATCGCTTTAATATTCACCAGAATACGTGATGTACCAGGATAGTGCTCTCTTGCTGCTATACACTCAATTCCATTCGCAAAAGTCACTGTAAACAAGGTGTCATTGAGATAATCGGTAAATAAGGTAAATGAAGTAACTCTTGTTCGAAATGCCGCCCCACCTCGCCTCATCGTGTCATGAGCAACGCTAATGTGACCCAACATCATCCGTAGTTTCAGAGGACAAAACTTGCATTCCACACCACGAAAACTCAGCCGCTGTGATTTCAGCACAGCCCCACGGTCACTCTTCATCTCAGTCACCTCACGTACTTCTTTCAAAGAAGCACACACACCCATGACCCCCAGCGATGTCCCCTTGTTAGATTTTGAATAAGAAAAACCGCGAACAGCTAAAATAATCTCATTCCATTCTCTTACAAGACGGCAAAAATATTCCCACAGCGTATTAGTCACATTGACAACTATCAAAGAAACAACCACATTGTCAGTGTCCGTCATTTCAACCTTCACAGGAGGCACAATCACCTCCCTCGTCCCAAAGCATATAGAGAATTCTTTTAGCAAAAAACCTATGCGCGGGTTGTTATAACCTCTTTCAATCACCGTCAGTGAGAGTCTTTCCCAGCGAATCACCAAGTCGTCAAAACGCAACTGCACAAGTGGGAGAACGAGACTAAAGGTTTGGGCACGACTTGTGGGAGCAGACTGTGATACATTTCGCTTTGGTGGCATCACTTGCAGAATCCTCGGCACAGCAGTTGCAATCGGAGCAAGAACCCCAAGTAGAAATCCAGACCTCACGGTGAGGTTTACATCATCCAGTTTAACCTTCACAAAAACCATGCCGTTCTGTTCAGTGCGCTGGACACATAGTAAAGGTTCCCTGCCGCACGCCAAGTGAAGAGATTGGGGTGCCACATCGGGGTCAAGCCTCACACTACCCACCGAAAGTTCCATCTCATCAATTCGACTGACAAAGGCCACATCACGAATCCACACCTTTGTATTCGAGGGAAGGAACAGGCAAATGACTTTCAGGTTCACATGTACGGACGAAGCCACTGCCACAGCTTCCTCAGACTGGTGCGAAGGCCCATCAGCATCTGGTGTGCCACCTCCAGTGGGTGACGCAGCAGAATATCTCTCTTGGACAGTTTGCCGCAAGTACATTACCACGTCACGATAGCGAATCTCTCTCTCGACTTCAGCAAGGCTGTCCCTCTTCTCCACAACATCCCCCGTGCGGTGGCAATAGTACAGCAGTCCAATATAAGTTTTGCGCGCCTCCGCGTAGAAATTCAAATGCGACGGATTAAAATTATAGCGCCTCCTTCTGTCTCGGATGAAAGCAAGAACGCAATTCATGGTGTACGGCCACCGCGACTTTAGCCGGCGGAGATCAGAATACGGGCGGCAGAAGTCAGGAACGTTCATCATCTCTTGACGACTTACGAGACAGTGCGTGATGGCTGTTAGTGTATCCTCATCAGAGAACATCCAAGCGGCACCATCAAAAGACACCGCAACATTCTTACGACACAAAACACCACTGGAATTGTAGACAGAAGTGATGCGCACACTAAGACTATCCACTGTCGTCACTTTACTTTCTTGTGTGTCTGTGCAGGCATTCAATGAGACACCACTGAATGTGATATTCACCACCTTCATCTTCTCCGCATTAATCTCTTGCAAGGGTTCCACCTGCACTCGCAATTCCTTTGCTACAACCTCAAATCGTGCATCATTTCCAGAGTCACATCGCAAAACGAGAGCGACATCCATGGTGTGGACTTGAATAGGACGATTCATTATCCACATTACAGAATTGCTAGCAGCGCTGCGAAGGAATGAAAACACGCCCCCACCATCCCGTGGAAGGAGTGCCACATCATCTAGAGACTCACACGACACAAATGAGCTATTACCTTCACTACGACAGGACATATAATCCTCGTCATCACCTTCCGAGTGGGTCAATGAGCTCCCGAACTCCGAAATGCATTCGGCAGGTTCTATTGCTGCAGACGCTGCCTCTTCTTCATGATTCTCACCGTCAACCCCTGACGCAGACAGAGTTACCCCAAGAATGCTCTCTTCATTGATACTAAGCCGTATATCTTCCATGCTCATGTCTCTAAGAGGGACACTTAAACTGTAATCATCTAGTATTACTTTAACCCCCTGAGAGCGTATGATCAGTGGACTGTTAGAAGTTGGCCATGGAATTTCAACGCAGAGTTCGACAATGTGTCCAGACGCAATTGGAAAGGGAACAAGAGAATTCAGGGTGTCCTTCCGAAGCGACATGTCCCTAACCCGAAGAGATCGCCCAATCAAGGAACTCTCTACATTACTTGGATCAATATCTGCCAGTTTTGTCAATCGAGAAATAACAAACGAAATTGCCTGTTGCATGATGTTCCTAAGAAGTGTTTCCTACTACATTATTCAAACGCGATGAGTGAAGCGAAGAGATCCCTTTAAACGTTTCAAAAGCACATTCGATATACTTCGGGCTGTTAATCAACACACACGTCAGGTATCATTATAAACGACTTCAAAAAGTCTCCTCAGCTGTCGTTACCGACACGGAAGAAGTCCTTTGCTCAACCAATGTGTGCCTCCCTTGATGAAGTCGTCAAGGCGTCTAAGCAATATGCAGAAGCGGGCGCGTGCTACAAACAGACAGCACCGCGCAACCAAAAGAAATCAAGATCTCCTTGTCACAAGACAAAATTCCGAGAAAAATCGAAAAACAAACAAACAAACAACATACTTACTCACAAACACACACACACACACACACATACCACAATCACCAGTAGATACGATGGGCACAGTAGCCATCGGGGTTCTTCTCCAGGTATTTCTGGTGGTACTCCTCCGCGGTGTAGAATCGGCCTGCCTTCTCCAGAGTCGTAACAACTTTTGCGTCGCCAAAGGCCTTCACCATTTCGGCACGAAGGTTAGGGTCGGCGCCGTTGAGTCTCGCAATGTATTCCTTTGCCTCATTCATTTGCTGCGCGTTGTGGTAGAAGATAGCACTGCGGTACTGTGTGCCAATGTCACCAGCTTGACGGTTCACCATTGTAGGGTTGTGCATGCGGAAGAAGAAGTCCAGGAGCTGCTGGTATGATACCTTGTCAGGGTTGTACGTAATGTGCAGCACCTCTGCGTGACCCGTTTCGCCAGTCTTCACCATCGGGTAGGTCACCTCGTCCACCTCCTTACCGCCCATGTAGCCCACCTCGTGGGAGAGGAGCACGTCGCCGAACCGCTTCACAAAGTAGCGCTCGGTGCCCCAGAAGCAGCCGGCAGCAAACGTCGCGGGCACACCAACGCTCATTTTCGTATCGTACAAGTGATGGCTTCGCACTAACAACTCCGGTCCACAAGAGAGGGAGGAAAGAGGGAACACGGGGGAAGATTAGGAGCAGTAGAAGAGAAATGCCGCGAGGGGGCAGAGTCGTAAGGGAGAAGACACAGCGATACAATAGGGTATGTCCACCACCACCACCACCACCAAAAATTGGGTTAAGGTAAGCACCTCTTCTTGTTCATTCCTCTTTTATATCCCTTTTCTACACTGCATCTATTCAGACCGCCCGCGTCTTCTATCGAGCTGTCCTGCGGGCACGCCGCACAACAAATCGGACTACACCTCCCACCACGATGCCAACCATCGCCACAATCGCTGCGCGCCTGATCATGCGCACGGTCGTGACGGGTGGATTGCCAACGGCGATATCTGGTTCCTTTGCCACAGCATGCATGTACTCATTGAGTGTGACGACCTCCGAGTCCTCGGGGTTCTCCACGCTTGTCACTACTGGGGGCCACAACAGTTGGTGCTGCCGGCAGAACTGCTCCATCAGACGACTGGCTTCCGCAGAGGTGTCAGTCGTCGCGGGGGATTCAGCCTTTGTCATGACAACAATAAAAGGTAACTTGCGGCATCGCAGCGGTGATGATGTTGACTCACGATATGCGTGCATGATGGGCGGCGTCGTCTCTGCCACACGGGTTCCATCGTAGCACAACAGCACGACATCCACCTGCTTCTCAAGAGCCTCGTTCCCAAGCACTTCCGCTACGCTCTCAATGGGCACCGTAGCGTACACTACCGTCTGTGGAACCTCCTCCTCGCCATTCCTCACAAAGAAAGTCGTAGTCCGGACATACGTCTCATGTGACGCTCTCCCCTCTTCGCGAAATTCCTCATCCCCCGCAGTCAAGGTAAACATCAGGCTTCTTCGCCCACACCCAGGGGCACCAAGGACGAGTACCTGGATCGTGTTGGGGACCGTTTCACCCACCTCACGGTAGGGCCGCGCATTCCGCAGCATAAAGAGCAGACTGGTATCCCCCTTGTACCCCCAGTACCGTGCATACTGCACAACAATGTCCCGTTTCACCAAGGCCATGTACTTCCAGTATTCGATGAACTTGTCCAGTGGTATCCGAGCCACAAGGAAGCCGTTGATGTGCTTCCATGGGCACCCAGGAGTAACATCCCACATGTCATCAAGGTCTTGAAACCGGTGTAGCCTGTAGAGGTTTCGGAAAAACTGAATGGCAGTGTGGGAAAGATAGGTGTTTCTCACCTTGCTTACACGAATTGCATGCAGATCCTGCCATGAGTAGGGGAGCCCATCGGGGTGCAATCCAGTGATGAAGAGCGTTGCCCACACCCGCACAGCATCACCCTTCCGCAGGTGCTCCTCTTGAATGATCATGAAGCGTTCACAGTCAACACGCATGGGTGCCGCCTCTAAAGATTCGCTGGCCAACATCTCAGAAAGGTCGGCTGTCGAAAATGAAGCCGAGGTGACAGATCGCTGCCATGTAAGGAGCTCCTCTTCATTCAGCACACCGTCACCATCCTTGTCAAGGAGCCAAAAGGCGCGACGGAGGGCTAAAAGGCCGGTGTGTGTCAGGGAGTGGAAGGTCGTATCCCATATAACGTGCGGTGGAGCGAGACCAATATTGACGATGACGGAGCGCAAATCTGATGTCGAGTACATGCCGTAATAGAAGTCACAATCCTTCACAATGCGGAGCGCAGCCTCTGGAGCGCCGTCAAGCGAAACGGTAGGTTTGCTCGAGTACGATAAGGCCGTCGGCGGTGAGGTGGCGCCCCGCGTGAGCACCACCAAATGGCACATGGACAACAGGCGAGTGTCCACATGGTCGACCCCTGACGCGGACGTGCAGGAGATGCTGTACCGCCGGTTCCACGCGTGGTTGGCGTTTTCCACTGAAGTGCCGAACGCGTTTTCAACAAGTTGAACGTCCGTCCCGCAGACGAGCACACGAAGAGACGCCAAAACCATTTCAACCTGAAACGGATTTCCTCCCCCTTGTTTTGGACCAGAAACTATTTTCACCTAGTCGCGTGAGTAAGCAATAAGAGTACAAACACGGGAGATGCGGGGAAAAAAAAAAGATGTGCAGGCAGGAAAAAAAATATATCACAGCGAGACAGCTAGGCGAAGTTCCTCCACCATTCATCATCACAATAACAATCCAACGCCACATACGCATGCCGCAGAAGTGTAGTTCACTCCCTTTCAACCCTCCTCGCAAAGACCCATTTTTTTTTTCTGTTGTCGTCGTTGCTGCTTTTCGCTCAATACACACATACAAAACGCACTGCGGATAAGAAGGACCCCGAGACAAAGAACTAGTTTTTCCTTCACTTCTCTTTGTCCTCTTTAGGCCCCTCCTCGTTCGGGTGGTGGCTGTCTCCCTGCGAGTGTTCTTGTCTCTCTAGTTCGCTTTCAAGTTCACGAAGAAACGCCTGCTCGTCGTCAGTGGCGGCCTCAGCGCCCGCCCCTGCGGCCCCCTGCGACGCCTTTCTCGCCTCCTCCAACGACATTTGCAACGCGCGTGCAATCAAGTCCTCCTCCGACATGTTGTCCAGATCCACAGGGTTCTCTTGACGGCTCGGGGCGGCGTCCTTTTTTTCCTCGGTGGCAGGCGCTGTGCTCTGTGCCGCCAGCGTCGCCGCTGCCGCCCGCCGCTGTTCTTCTTCTTCCAAGGACATGCGGATCGCCATGGCGAGCTCTGGGTCCGTCGACGGGTCGATGCCGAAGCCCTGGTAGTCGTTCTGACCGTCGTGCGCGCCAGCAACGGCGTCGTTGCCCAACATAATGGGATTCGAAATCAGCACATCTGTGATGTTATCGGACGCTGTCACGCTCAAGAAGCGTGAGTTCCCCTGTTTACTCACCTTGTCGACAAACGCAGCCAGCCTTGGGACATTCGATTCAACGCAAACCGCAACGACATCGACTGCCACATCATCTTTCCGGAGCTTGCGCGCCAGTTTGTCCAGTTGTTCATCAGTCTCTTTTAGAGGTGAGCCGATAAACGCGACAATGCGTTTCTCAGCCCGGGGGTTGGTGCGGTGGCTCAACGCAAGCGACGCGATCTGCAGTCCTTTAGAGAAGTGGCATTGCTTCCCGCTGATAGGAATCTTGCCGAGGGTTGTCATAACCCGATCCACATCTAGGGTGAGTGTTTCAAACACCGTGCATGCATTACCCCCGAGCGTCAGAAACCCAACCGTATTTTCAGCGTTCGTTTGTATCTTTGCATTGACTAGCAGATTTGCCGCCTCCTGCACCCCGAGAAAGCGGCTGGGGAATTGGTCACCATTGCGCATGAACTCTGTGGAGTCCAGACAAAAAAAGCAGGCTTCTGGCATGACGGCGTCTGTTCAAGCGGCAGCAACAGGGATGGAAACTACCTAATATATTACAGAGTGTATATGGTTGTTACTGGTTTTCTCTGTTTCTTGAGTGGCGTTGTTGCTTTTAGTATTCTTGCATAAGTATAATAATAATAATAATAACAACAGTTATTATTATTATTTTGTTGTCATCCATATTGTGGAACACAGCATGCGACGAAAGAGAAGCAAATAGGAAAACAAGATGGTGCCCTTCAACATCCAAATGACCCAGAGAGACGCCAAAGAGACAAATATATAAATATATATTTCTTTCTTCTCGACACAAGATGATATCACGAGTATGTTGGCAATGAATCCGAGGGGTAGAGAAAACATATACATTTTCTTTCGCCCTTTTTCCCATCCTTTCCTTGTTCACGCCGACTTGGTCTTCGTGAGCGTCTCCGCTAGAAGTAGATGATATGCACCAAGCGCATCCTTAGCCTGCTGCCTCAACAGAAAAACAACAGCTGACCTTCTCCACAGCAGCAGCTGCTCCTGTGCGTTTTCGACGGCAGAATCCGCAGCGACTGTTGCCTGCAGCCCACCGTCGTGTGTGTTGGTGTTATGCAACCTTTCTGATACGTTCTCTGCATGCCTCACCGCACTCGTGAGGTCCTCGGTGGTGTGCAGCTGCCGTCGATCACGAAGGAGGAGGTCCCGCAGGACCTTTCGCTCCTTCTGCATCATGATATCCCCTTTACTCAACGTTGACACCTTCACCTCGCTGCCCAACTTGCGCAAGCCCTCACACACAGCGTTGGGTGCCTTCTCCGCGTGATCGCGCTGGTACTCGGCGTACCGCTCCACCGCCCCCTCGATCGCCCGATCGAGCTCCTCCATGCAGAAAACAAAACTAGCGCTGCAATCGCCTAGAGAGTTGGGGCTGCTGATGTCGGCCGTGGCGTCGGTGATGTTATCGCATACCACCTGAACAAGGGGCTCTGCAACAAGCAATTGTTGAATCGTCTGCGCCACACGCTGGATCCCCACGTGGTCGCCGTGCTCAAGAAGCAGCGCCAGATTGTGGACCTTGCTGCATGCTACGTCAAAGGCGATGAACTTGCGCATCTCCAGCATCATGTACTGATAGTGATTCGTCAAGCCCTTCAGCGCGCCAAGTGCCTCGGGGAGCGCCGCCAGGTACGAGTGCAGCTCCTTATTTGTCTGCGTGTACCGCGCGAGCCGCTCTGCCCACACAGCATCTACTGTTTCATGAAGTTGCGCTGTCTCCTGCCTCTTTTGTCGCAGCTTGACGGCGTCCTGCAGCCGAGAGTCTTCGAGGGCGCGGAGCTCTTCCAGAATATCCGCATACTCGTTGTTGAGCTTTGCGCGGCGCGACTCCAGCTGACGCCAGCGCGAACCCAGCATAACAACGCCTGTCACCCCGAATACACTCACCGCACCGACGGCGCCCAGAATGCCACGGGACGCCATAGCAAGACTAATCACAACCGCAGGGCGATACACACATGCACACCAAAAGGAATACAACAGTATGGAGAGAGCAAAGGATACACACGCACAGATTCAACAACAAAAAAAAACAGCAATGAAACATGACATACACATTAAAATGGAAACGGAAAACAATGCAACATGTATAAGAAGAACCCTTCGGTTCTATCCTCCAGTAAAACGCTGCCTCCGCCAGCCTCACTTTCCCAACATTGCATTACAGTTTTGACTGCAGCGGTGAGGCGGTGAGGCGGTAAAGGTCACGAACTGCCCGCTCAAGCGTGTCCGCGTAGGCCACACAGACACTCTCCTCTTTACTTGCGCCGCCGCTGGCACTGCCCCTTAGCGGCCGCGCAAAAGCCTTGCTCGACGAGCTTGTGAACGCAAGGTGGTCGGAGAATAAAGAATAGCCAATGCCAACACCGTCTGGGTGTGTCACCGTGAAAGCGAAGGATGCGATACCAACGGCGGTGATGTTCGAGGTTGAGAGATAATCGCTGGTAAGTTCTCGGTATGCGGGAGATGTAAAAAAAAACGCATCAACGGCTGCAGAAGCTTGAGCAATGTCAAAAGAAAAGTGTGATGACTCACCGTATTGAAGCCGTTCCCGAACCTCATTGTGTAGGCGGCGCAGGAGGGTGGCCGTCCGATGGAAACCTTGTCCTTCGCGGCAACTCAAAATCCGCCGTCGGTGCTCCTTACTCACATTCTGCAACGCCTCAGCAACCTTTGGGCTAAATGTATGAGTATTAGGAAGCGACTGCACAGCGTCCGCCAGCGCTTGGGTGGCGAGTGTCACGGTACGCAGTGTCTCGGTACGTCCATGGTGGTACTTCTTCATCAAGAGAGCACAGTACGTTGATCGCTGATCTCCAAAGAGACGCCGCTGGGCAAGGTGGAATGCGGCGTGCATGAAGGAGTCGGGGCTCACGCGGCAATGCTTTTTAATCTCATTCGTTCCGAAAGCACGAATGCATCTCTCTGTCATATCGACCTGGTCCACTTGCTGAAGATGCACCCGCCGTGCCTCAGCGATAGCATGGAGGGCACTGCTGGATAATGGTCCGAATGACACCGCCTTTACATGTGCCACATGGTCTAGCACACGCATCTCCTCCAGCTTCTGGGGGGTGATGTGTTCCTTACAAAGAGATGCCGCATAGTAGTAGATGCTGCTAGAGACAACCGTCATGGAACTGCCGTCACCCCACGAATGTTCCATGTTACAGCAGGCATCACCGGCTGGGTTCACTGTGTACACCACGTTCATATCGGGATAGCGGTTCTCTGGGTGCTTACCCCCGTGCAGGCCTAACCGGATATCTACCTCGCTGTCAAGCGCCAGAGCAAAACTGCACGACGTGATATCTGCCAAAGCTACCTTTGAAGTCGGTTCATTCCAGAGTTCGTCAAACACGCGGGCCCAATTCCTACGACACCCACTAGCCAATACCAGCGGGCTGTCCTCTTTTGCAGCCAAAGATGACGTTTCAGAGATGACAGCATCGATAAGACGGGCGTTGGCTATAACCTCCTCTAGCCAGCATGGGCCCAAGCCTTCCATATCCTCTGGTACATTGAAGCGCAACCACCTCAAGATGTACAGATGACCCTTAGAGAGAAGAAGGACATTCTCTGTGCAAGACCAGCGCAGCCCGTCCATCCCCTCATGCGGTATGCGAACGGTTCGAAACAAACGAGTAAACTGATCACGACACAAAGTCAAATCTACTCGGAATGACTTTGGTAGATGTTTCTGTGCCTCAGGTGTGAAGAAGAGTGGCTGATTCACCAAGCGACGGACGTGAAATGACGCTGCTCCAATGATCGCTGCACGTAAAGCTTGTGGAGAGACATTCAACTCACGGCAAGAACGCTCAAGAGATGGCCCTTCGAGATGCAACATGTAATTCCACCCGAATGGCAGCGGATCTCTGTTGCCAAGGTACATTGCATTCCAAAGAGGCGCCATGTGCGATGTGCGCAGTGAGGCGTTGCAGAAGTGTTTGTATTTTTGCGCCAACGACTCCAATAAGCGAAAATAGGCAGAGGCATCGTGCACTTCTGATCGCGTGTTACCTTCCGTCGTCTGCAGACACCCAAGAACCTTGCGAATAAAATCAATACTCGCCTGCTTGTTTTCAACCCCATCGAGCGGCTCCACGAACTCCACGTAACGCTGCAGAACGGTCGTGATACTAGGCAGCGGCAGATGGGCGCAGGCGCCGTTGGTGCCCAAACGCTGATGTCCCATTCTTCTTCTACGATCGGTGCACTCACAGATTATTTGCGCGCTGCAAAGTTGGTAGGGCGGTATGTGCCTTTCTACCACGTTTGGCAAAAAAGGGGAAAACGGAGCAAAAGTGCGCGCGATGAAGCACGCAGAGGCGTCTATTTGTGTGCGGTGCATGAAGACCCCCACTGCTCTCACCCACATACACACACACACACATATATATATATATATATATATGCACACCCTACAAGAAAGAGTGCTGGTTGGAAAAAAGACAACATCTGTTTTTCTTTTTAACAAAAAGTACTACAGCGCGATTTTCCTACGCGTCCTATTCTACGTGTCAATTCTTCTACACGCCCTTAACGCCACTCCATCCGCTAACATCGAAAATTTAAAAAAGGAATGTCGTTCAACACATTCAACTACCCGGGCACTCTACGAGAAGAGCATCAGGAACGCAAGCATCAGCGCGAACAGGCCGATAGCCTCCGTCAGGGCGAAGCCAAGAATGGCGTAGTTGAACAGCATCTTCGTCAGGTTTGGCTGCCGCGCGCAGGCGA